ATCTCTGAATTTCATCCCAGGTTTCCATCATGTAATCTGTGCTGCTACTGGGCTTCATGTTTACTAAGTATTTATTGGAAGGACAACAAAACAATTCTGACTAAGGCCTAATGAACACTGTCTGGCAGGAAAAGGCATTATAGAAAAGTGTAAGTCTCAGGCTTATTCTATTTATGACTTCCTGAGTTCAAAGAAGTAACTTTGTAAAGCAAACGGAGAAAGTGAGGGAAGATCATAAAAGCTACGTGGATGTCGATGCTCATAAAATGTAAACCCAGATTACCCATGGTGCTAAGCCATGCTAATAACAATTGCCATTGCAATCAGTACTGGCCTGAATATCAGGATGGTATTTAATGAACTAGAAATTTTAAGGGAGTGACCTGTAAAAGAAATGTCAGGTGATGCTGTGAGAAGATACATAGGTCAAAGTAAAAATCCTTTAATGTGTCCTTAAGATGTGATATCTTAATTTACAATAAGCTGTCTTAGACTGTTACACTTCATATGTGCGTGTACACTGCATTTGCAAATAGCAGTCCTACAGTGCAGACCTTGATTGACTGCTGTCACAACGTCATTACCAACTGCTGATGATTACATCACATTTATGCCATACCACAACACGCCAGGCAGGTAGCAGATACTGCTATTGCACTCTTTCCTTGTGTGTGGAAATGTAAATGTAACAAACATAACCTGGTTATGGCACAACTTACAATCATCTCTAGTACCTCGGTTTACTTTCTGTTGAGGCAGGTAACCCAGGTCAGAGGAACTTGCCAATTCTTTTAACCCAGTCAAAGCATTTCTGAGGTTCAATAAAATTTTGATGAATGTCCTACACCAGTTTTCATCTCAACAGTTTCAATTACTTTCTGGTTGGGGTTCTGGTCAGGGTTCAGGACAGTTTCCTGTGGAATCGGGGAAAGCTGTGAAGATGAGCTGAGTCCTGGCATCAGAATATTTCAATGTCCCATGTTGAATTTCTGATATTTAGCCTGTCCACTCTTCCTTGGTTGGCTGTGCTGCACCATTGGCCTTAGGAATAATGCATCAAGCTATTAATCCTTTGTATATCAATGGCTCTTATCATACAGTATAACTTCTTTTCTCTTGACAAACATTAGTTGAGAACTAAATCTCATGTACTTTATACTGTGAATAGTATTATGCCATTTTACAGAAACAGGCACAGAGAAATTAACACAGGCAATATTATTTTATTTGTTGTTATTGGACTCCCCATAGCGTGCCACTTACAGCAATAAGTTGTCTTCTTGGTCTGAAAATCTTACTATCTTACAACATGTCACAAGTGGCAGGATTATAAAAAGCTTTAAAAAAAAATATCAGGGTAAGGTCTTAGAGTTGTATGAACTCATGCTTTGCACAACTTCTGTGTATTTCCCCAATATTGCCTCTGTAACTCAGTAGCAGAACTTTGTAAAGAGCATGCTCAGAAGCATCACTGTATACAATGAACACAAAAATGCTTGATCCTTCTTCAATATGAACCCTATTTGTTATTTACAAATGGATGAGATGTATGTAAACTATTTCTGTTCGGTTAACCCTCTGCTGGGACTAAAGAAACATAGCCCACCCCTTGGTCGCATTAAAGCCTCAAAGAGAAAAATAAAATTACTCTTTCAACCATGATTGCATCCAGCTTTGTGCCTTTGCTTTCAAAGGGAACAGTTGCTAGAGAGTTCTTAAAAACTAGCAGCATAATAACCTCTACTGCATTTGTGCACAGCTGCATAAGCCTTGATATCCACACAGAATGAAGTGGTGATAAAGGCACCTTTCCTGTTACGGCTGTTTGACAGCAGGATGCCTAGCGTGTAAATAAAGATTGGGCTTATGCATGGCATAGGTATTTAGTCCTTTGGAACTTAGATACGTTTTTTTTCTGGGTTTACTCTAAAGTTTGTCTAGTTACCTAGGGAATTTTAGAGGTTCAAAAACATGTACCTCAGGATGATACTCAAGTAGATGGATAGGTAGCACCTGGTTGGGAGTTTTGAGGATCTGCATTTTTGCAGTTAGGTGTATGGGTGCAGTTTGCTAGCTTTTAGTGCTAAATTCTTTAGTTTATCCAGTCCAAAGTCTGTAGGAATAAACAGTACTTGACTCCAAAATCGACACTTCCCTTAATCACTAGAGGAAGATACATCCGTTTGTGTCTGTCTGGGTTACTGTAAAGTTGGATCTGCTTGCTTTACATATTTACTTGTGCTCATGGACACAAATGGCCATATGAATTGCAGTTAAAGAGTCAGACCCTGCTGATATTTATACTCTTAGCATGAAGAACTGGGATCTGATGCACTATGCAAATTCATAGCTCTAGTGGCAGGTCTCTGACGTACTCTAAGTGCTCCATCAAAATGTTTTCACTTAGAACTAGAGACAAAGACAGAGTCATGGAAGTACAAACTCTAAAGGTAATTGTGTTTCCATTTAAGACACTAGTGCTTGAAAAGTTGTGTTCTTAAGATCACAAATCTGATAATCTTCTACATTCATGTTTAGCAGAGTATTCTTACGATAGCTTGATGTGCTCCTTAGTTAATTAAATGTTAGAATTATAACAAGTGTGGGAAATAGGCAGAATTACTCAAGGTTAGTTGGATGAAATCGATCCTAAATACAAAAAAGCTACAAAGTTTAAGCAGTATTTAAGCCATCAAATAATACAACACACTTTTGGTGTTTTTGATGAGGAGGAGTTATTTTGTACTACTCAGCATTGCATGGTTGTATTAGCTCTGGTTTCAGTTCCAGTAGCAAATTTTAAACCGCAGATAAGATAAAATGAGAGTCCTCTTGTTCTGTGTTTCTAATAGACTCAATGTCCAGTCTAGAAATTACATTGCATAAAAACAAATCAAGAGAAACCATTTCTCATGATACTGTGGCAATTAACAAAGCAAAAAAGAAAGCGGAAGTCCATTTGAAAGAAGTAAAAAGGTCTTGCTAGATGATTGAGGAAGATACAAAAAGTAATCTCAGATGAACTGTCTTACTGAGAAATGTGGGTTCTGCCCAGAATTAGAAGGGTGGCTGCATCAAAATGGCTTCTGCCTTAAGACACTGCACACAAGAATTCAAGTCCAAACTTGAAGTTTTGCCATCAATATCTGTGCACCCAGCTCATGGCAAGGGATTAACTCCCATTTCTGCCAGCTGAGGATATGATCTCATACATGTTGATAGCTCTTGCTATCTTCCAGCATAAGGTTTTGCTCTTGTCTTCAGATATTCTGTCCAACATCCATATTGCCTGTCAGACCACAGCATGGGAAGACTTCTTCCCTCACCTAATTATTTACCAATCTGTATAGTCAGAGCTAAGGGATTTCTAATCTGTCTGCATAACTATGCATTGGATAGCTTCAACTGAATGCAAACCCATTCCCTACAATGAGTAACGACTGCTTATCATAGCACAATTCAGGTTGGAAATTACCTCAGGTGGTCACCCAGTCCAGTCTTCTGCTAAGGTTAGTTTAACAACCCGGGACAGAATATGTTTCCATATTTCTTTAGCATTGACCTGTTGATCTCCTTTTTATACTTGCTGCCTTATTTTTTTTTTATCCATTCCTCAGTATGGGCTTCTTGGGCATACCTGCTTCTTGGTTTCTCAGTAGTCACTGAGTAATGTCTCTGGCTCCAGAGGTTAAAATGAGTTTATGGTTTGTAGGTTTTGTGGACAAAGACTAAAAATACCACAGACGTGAAAAAGCATGACCCTCACTTTAGTAGAGCAATTGACAATACTACTTATTTACATGTAGCTTGGCTTCAACCTGACCTGAATTCCACTTGTGTACTTTTATTGACCTTCTACTGATTCGTTGGAATTTCAGCTCCATCTCTGCTACTGATGGCCAGCAAATGGGACTGGTATCTGACATCTGGTTTTATTTTAACAGAAACTGCAAGCCTCCATGCATATGATTATTGCTTTGGGAGTGTACCCACTCTGAAAAGACAAGGTTTCTACAAACGTGTTTTCACACCCATTTTCACCTTCTGAGTGAGATACTTTGCAATTAAAGTACTAAGGAGCTGCTGAAGCAGAAGTGACATCTTGCTACCAAGGCCTGGAACAGCTCTGGTAATCCAGCTGCCTTGTACCATCGTGGCATGCAGTTTTAGCATTGCAGAGCTTTGTGACTGACAGCAGCAGGA